GATTATTTTTGATTATTTTTGTTTATATTTCATAATTGGCAGTCTCAATAAGTCCAATTGTTATTTTATTTTGTTAGACATCTTCAATAAATCCTGTTATTTACTTTAAAACTATTTGTTAATTTCTTTATTTCTTTCTAAATTTTCACTTTATTTTTCTATCTATTTCTATTCTTTATTGATAATATTTAGTTAGTTTGCGTACAAGCTATCATAGAAGATCTTTAGAATCTTTAATGAACTCCATTAATTGTAATTCATTCAGTCTTTGTCCTTTCACTGTTATGTTACTTTGTTAATTTATTAATTTCAACAATTTTTGAATTAACGAGAACAGTAATCTAAATTCTACAAAAATATTATTATTAGATTCATTACAATGAGACAAATCAAATAGTAATATTTTCATGAAATTCAGATCACTAGAAATCAAAATATTATCTTTGAAATTCACTGAATATGAATCATCACCTGAAATTTTATTTTTCTTGTGTACAATAACTTTTAGTTATGATATCTCAGTCTTTAGTAATTAGAAGTGCATGAAAATATTATTATTCGATTTATCTTGTTATAGTGAATCAAATAGTGACATTTTCATGCAATTTTGATTACTGAAAATTAAAATATTGCTATTTTATTATAATATTCTCCTTTACTTATCTTATATAATAAATATATAATTCAAATTTTAGCAAAATTGAATCACTAGTTATTGAAAAATTAAGTTTTAAAGTTTAAAAATTTATTTTTTTATTATATAAATTTATAAAAAATAATTATAAATAATTATATAAAAAAATTAAAATAATCAAATTAAAAGTTATTGATTAATAAAATTTTTTATTTTTATTTACAGTAACAATCAGAAATAATGCAATAACATCAAAATTTATTAATTAAATATAATAAAATATGAATTTTTTCTTTTTATATAAAAGTTTTCAATTTTACAAATAAAAGTTTTTTTATTTTTACATTAAAATGAAGATAATATTACACATTTTAATATAGATTTTTTAGATTTAATCTGATAAAGCTGTTCTAATTGCATATAAAGTCAATTAATTTTTTATAATTAAAATATATAAAAAAATAATCAACTTTATATATAATTAGAAAAACTTTATCAAATTAAATTTAAAAAATCTGAAAAATATATATATTAAAACATGTTATATTATCTTCATTTTATTATAAAAATAAAAAATATTTATTAACAAAATTGAAAACTTTTATATTAAAAGAAAAATTTATATTTTACTATATTTAATTAATAAAATTTGACATTATTATATTATTTCTGATTGTTACTGTATATATAATAAAAAAATTATATAAATATATTAAATATTATATTTAATAAAAAAATTAAAATTTTAAAAATAAAATTTTTTTTATTAATAGCAAAGTGATATATTTATATTTTTGCATTAGATTATATTAAATTACTTTACAATCAATGATCCAATTTTGCTAAAATTTAAAATATATTTATTATATATATTAATGCATTTGTTGAATATAAATTTCTAAAAATAGAAATTTATAATAATAATACCTAAAAATTATTTTTAATTTTTAAAAATTGCAAATTTTATTATTTAAAAGTGAAAAGTTTTGTTTTATTTATTCTTAAATAAAAATATAAAAAGTTATATTAAGATATGCTTTACTTAATATAAAAAATTATAAATATTAATTACATTTTGTATAACTTTTATTAAAAGTAATTATTAACTTTCATTTTTTATATATTAACATTTATATATATCTAAAATTTTATTTTTTAAAAAAATTAGATATTACTTTTTGTAATGATTGTATAAATAATCATATAAATAAATTTATTTTTTTCTTCAATCCAAGTATTCCGTACATGTTTGTTTAATTTTTTCATATTATTATTTTTTATCTCACCTTTTTTTAATTAATATTTTCATCCACATTATGTAACAATTACTGAACAAATTAAAATTTGGTTTTTATTTGTTTGTATCATTAGTTCTCTAGTCTTTGAATTTCCTAAGTCTCCTTTTCAAGATACCAATTACATCAAATATAACACAAAGGAATCAGATACTGCTTTTGATATCATGCTCATAAAAAGGATAAATAATAGAAAGGCAAGATATTTTCTTCAAAAACCATTACTCTTATGCTGTCATTGTTATCTATCTTTTTCGTTTTTTTTTCTTTTCTTCCTGCTCACCTGTTAAATGCAAAGTGCAATCAATAAAACGTGACTAAATTGCAAACACATGTTCTGATATACCTTGATATCGTAAAAGCTCCATATTCTTTACAACTTGCTTGCATTGTTGAACCCATTCATCACTGGGTCGGTGTCCACCCCACAGAATGCCATCTTCTTTTTCAACAGGATCAACATATGATATCAACAACTTGTGCAATAATAGTTCTACATCACTTTCTTTATCATTAAGACATGCATACACACTCTTTGAGAGTCCATAAATGCTCAAATGTCCCATTCTCTCCTTGACACCTTTTCGTGTTTTCACCCCAATGTCTAAC